GGTCTCCATGAAACGCAGACCACAGCAAATGAAATGCCTGTCTCTATTTTCCTTCTTTAGTATCTAGTCTGTTCTAAAGCCATCCTCGGCTTGTTTTTTTTTTTTTTTCCAGATTTTTTAATAAAAGTTAATTTTGTCATCAGGATCTTTAAATTTTGAGTCTTTAAATTTGTTGGAACCTTATAAGTCATGCACACGTCCCAGTAAAAAATATTTGCCCTTACTACAGTTCAGTTTATATAGTTCACGACACATCTCTTGCAGTTAAATTGATTCCAACTTTTCTATGTAAAGGGAACCAGCTGATTACATCGACTCATTGACTTGAAGGCATGCTTGTAGCGACAGTGGGGAGGGAAAAAAATCCCCTTTAACAGGAAGAAACCTCCAGCAGAACCAGGCTCGGTGTGATCGGCCATTTGCCGAGGCCAATTGGGGTTAAAGGAGACGGAAGCAGAGATGCAAAAGGCAAGTGTCAACCAGCTCCACAGGCCGCCCCTTCCAGGAAACACACAGCCAGGCAGACTGCTACAGATTTCTTTCTGCTTTAAAATCTTGTTTGAACAGAAAACTGCTGCAGTTCTCTTCACTTTTCATCAGATGGATTCACATTTAAGGTGGAGCCTGAATGAGCAGTGTTATTGTTGAGAGGTTCGGCTCCAGCTGAGAAGAATTCCAGATATAGAAAGAAAACTAAAAATCATCTGTTTTTGAAGAGGGGGGTCCACAGAATCCTATGACCACAAGTGCACAGGTTGCTCAGCTTTGGCAGCGGCTTGGTTTTAACACATCTAAAAGAAATGTCTCTTCCATACTAATTTCTCTAGAGATGAAAAACTTGTTTCTCACACAAGTAGACCCAATCAGAAAGCTGCACAACGGCACACATTCATAAAATTTGAGTCGTTCAACTGAGAATTCTGGGTTTTCTCTTATCAGCATTAAATCATGGAGCGTGAATAAACGTGAATCCCAGACATCTTTTCTGTCTAGCTAATAATATGATAATTGACCTTTTGATCTCATGCTGGAGAATTCACCTCTGCATGTAGACCATCCCCTTCGGGAGCAGTGGGCTGCCACTGTGCGGTGCCCGTGGAGCAGTGTGGGGTTAAGGGTCTTTATCAGGGAGCCAGTGGCTGTGGGGATTGAACCGGGTACTTGCAACCTCCTCAGAGCACAAGAACACTGCTTTAACCATGAAGCCGACACTCCCCTAACTCAAGCAATAAAACTGGATCAAGGCAAGGCAAGGCAAATTTATTTGTATAGCACAATTCATTACAAAGACAATGCAAAGTGCTTTACATGATTAAAATATAGATAAATAAAACTGAATCAAAGCAAGTAGGAATAAAAATAAATAAAATAAAAAATGCAGAAACAAAAAAGAACTAATGATGTTTCAGTTGAACTCTTTAACTAGAACAGTCGAAGGCAATCCTAAACCAATGTGTTTTTAGTCTTGATTTTAATCAAATCCGTCTTGATCAAATCACAAATACGACCACAATGGGTCAGCATCAGTCAGAATGTAAAAATCAGCACGTTGGAAGAATCAGGATTAACATTGAAAATTTAAGTTGGTTATTCTGTTCGCTATAAAACGTTTCAATTGTTCAGAATAGTAAAGATAGGTGATACAGGCGTGTGTGTGAGCCGCTCCAAGGCCGTGACAGGAGGAGGATGGTGTGACCAGAAGCAGCATGGAGCCAAACTCACACCCGCCTCCATCTGCTGGGTCCAAACTGAGGCACAGAGAGAGCAGCTCACCTTCTGATTGGTATAAAAAATGAATTTCTGTTCTATCTTTTCTGATTCATTCAACAAATCGCAGAGAAAGAACTCACTACACTAGCATCCTGGTGTTTGGGGAAATACATTATATATGTTCCCAGATTGTAAGATTATGCATTTATTCATGTTATCCAGTTCCAAAGAATGTCTGGGAAACATAGCATCAACCAATCCTTTAAGAAAGACCCTCAGATCTCCTGAGAGAAAATGTAAAAGTTTAGGGAAAATAACTCTTATCTGATAGATATCTTTCCAAAGTATTCCAAAAACGTTTAAGTTTTACTTTTTTAGAATGACTATGACCTGGAGGCCTGAGAATCGTCACCAGCACTTTCCAACGTATATCTTCTAAAAGTTTTCTGATGTTCCAAACTCTTGTGAAATGTTTATATACATTCAATATGTCATAATTATTTAACGGTTAAGAGTAATTGTTCATATCAAACCTCTGAGTGTGAACATGCAGTTATCCTGTTAGCATTTAGCACTGCGTCTCAGAGGACAAACTCTGCATTGGATCATCTCACAATCTCTTTTAGTTAATTGGCTAAAAGGCAAAGGAGTAGCTTTTTTTAGATACATATTTTTAATTGGCTTTTTTGCCCAAATATTAACTTCTGATTGGCTTTGACTTCAGAGTAGTGAACCCACTGCCTCCACATGCTTGCTAAAGATTAAAGTTAACAACTTGATTTAAAGGATAGAAATCCTGTTTACCAGTTAGTATATAGAGGTTCCTAACAAAACTAGAGTATTTAAAGAAATGTATTAGATTAGACTGAATAAATTCTATATTTCTACTATATTTCTACAAGTAAGCAGAATTTGTTCTTAAAGGGTGTTTTGTAACACATCTTGTATTCATTGTTTTTATCATTAAACACACACAAATGCAATGTTTATATATAAATATATATATATATATATATATATATATATATATATATATATATATATATATATATATATATATATATATATATATATTTATATACACTCACCGGCCACTTTATTAGGTACACCTGTCAAACTGCTCGTTAACACTTGATTTCTAAGCAGCCAATCACATGGCGGCAACTCAGTGCATTTAGGCATGTAGACATGGTCAAGACAATCTCCTGCAGTTCAAACCGAGCATCAGTATGGGGAAGAAAGGTGATTTGAGTGACTTTGAACGTGGCATGATTGTTGGTGCCAGAAGGGTTGGTCTGAGTATTTCAGAAACTGCTGATCTACTGAGATTTTCACGCACAACCATCTCTAGGGTTTACAGAGAATGGTCCGAAAAAGAAAAAACATCCAGTGAGCGGCAGTTCTGTGGGCGGAAATGCCTTGTTGATGCCAGAGGTCAGAGGAGAATGGCCAGACTGGTTCGAGCTGATAGAAGGGCAACAGAGACTCAAATAACCACCCGTTACAACCAAGGTGGGCAGAAGAGCATCTCTGAACGCACAGTACGTCCAACTTTGAGGCAGATGGGCTACAGCAGCAGAAGACCACACCGGGTGCCACTCCTTTCAGCTAAGAACAGGAAACTGAGGCTACAATTTGTACAAGCTCATCGAAATTGGACAATAGAAGATTGGAAAAACATTGCCTGGTCTGATGAGTCTCGATTTCTGCTGCGACATTCGGATGGTAGGGTCAGAATTTGGCGTCTACAATATGAAAGCATGGATCCATCCTGCCTTGTATCAACGGTTCAGGCTCGTGGTGGTGGTGTCATGGTGTGGGGAATATTTTCTTGGCACTCTTTGGGCCCCTTGGTACCAATTGAGCATCGTTGCAACGCCACAGCCTACCTAAGTATTGTTGCTGACCATGTCCATCCCTTTATGACCACAATGTACCCAACTTCTGATGGCTACTTTCAGCAGGATAATGCGCCATGTCATGAAGCTGGAATCATCTCAGACTGGTTTCTTGAACATGACAATGAGTTCACTGTACTCAAATGGCCTCCACAGTCACCAGATCTCAATCCAATAGAGCATCTTTGGGATGTGGTGGAACGGGAGATTCGCATCATGGAAGTGCAGCCGACAAATCTGCGGCAACTGTGTGATGCCATTATGTCAATATGGACCAAACTCCCTGAGGAATGCTTCCAGCACCTTGTTGAATCTATGCCACCAAGAATTGAGGCAGTTCTGAAGGCAAAAGGGGGTCCAACCCGTTACTAGCATGGGGTACCTAATAAAGTGGCCGGTGAGTGTATATATACACACACACACATATTATGCAGTATTAAATTAGTTCTTCTGTTAGTTGTGGTTACTGTAGTTTTGGGTATAAATCAATAGCCTGGGTGCCATTCCGAACTTAGTCCCGCCCACAACGTTTGAGGTCGGGAAGTTCGGTCTGGCATTGCTCAGTAGTAGCGCGAGTATGCTCGCACAATATCTGGCGGGCCAATCAAATTGTCAGGGCGGGCTTTATACGATGATGGACAGATGATCAACAGTAACGTAATCAACCATGTGACCAAAGCGCGCTTGGGTGACAACAATGGCTGCCGCTGGAGAGTTGAGGTGTGTAGATTCTGCTATTAGGTCTGTTCTAGAAGATATCGACAGCAAATTAATTTTAAAAGAGGAACAGAGAAACGCGATCAAGGCTCATCTTCTTATTCTAGGCGTGCAACTGCACGCTTTGATTTTTGTTGACAACAACTATGCATCGCTTAACATACGTCACGCACTCCATTGCTCTTATTGGTTGTAGGTCTATCCAATTGAGTGCAGGCATTTTTTTCCTGGTTCGTTCAAAACACGCCCCATAATCACAGCTCTATGGAGCAGAATCAGACTCATATTCTGACTAGAATTGAGTAGGACTACGTCAGGCTAATAAATCAACTCCAAGCCCCCAAAATCAAACTTAATTTCACTTGAATTTAAGCTGAACTCACCTCACATTCAGATACATAAACTAATCTAAATTTTTTTGGTGTTTTTCTTACACCACATTTCTTAACAGATACCAACAAATTACTCTTTAAATAGGAGATTAAATGGTAGATTTCTCCACTTTACCTCCTATTTTAAAAGTGAATAACTCTACAGGAAAACTTAGTTTCTGGCTTCATGTTGTTCATGGCTCCAACACAAAGCAGTTTTTTATGATCGGCCTCATTCGGGCCAGTAATAATGCATAGAAATAATCCATGTTAAGGGATTTAAAAGAAAACACAAAGCAAGGAATGAGAGATCGAACACACTCAGTGGGGTTTAATAATAAATTCAAGGAACATGTCATTCTGGGATAACAGGTTTAAAGATAAAACTGCCCCAGCACAACGATGTGCAGGAGACGCATCGACAGCAGCGTCAGAGGATCTGCCGTCCCCCTGAGGAGCCTGGCGTCTCTAGAGGCCGACACGGTACGGCTGAATCTGGTATGGAGGTGTCTGAAGTTGTTCTGCAGAGGCGTCACCTGCGCCGCGTCTTCCTCAGTAGAGAAGATCTGTGAGGTAAACTGAGCCAGCTGAGGAAGAAGGTAGTAGAAACATGACTAGTCAGCACTTACCAGGAAGGAATCCTTTAACATAAGCATCAGACTGAAGAGACCAACCTGAGACCAGGAGATGTAGATGGGGACCTCATAGAGAGTCCAAACTACTGCTTGGGAACAGGGTGGGGTGGTGAGGCTGCCAGAGTAACGGTAATACTGGCTCATGTTGAGCTTGGGCAGGAGGCTGAGCAGTGGGAACGGCTTTATTCCAGTCATTTGGCCTTTTGGCGAAAGATTCACAGAAACTTCAGAAAAAGAGCCACAATCAACACACGAGAAAGCTGAGGGTGTTTGTAAAGGGCGTGTCTAACCTCTGTAAGCTACTGAAGATAGCTTTTGGGAAATGTGGCTAAAATGAACATTGTCTGCATAAACAACCTGCAAAAACAACAACACAACTTTATGCAAAGATGATTGATTTAAATGCTGAATGTTTTTTATTGACTTACATCGATGAAGAAGCCAAGAACAGCAAACCCGGTTGGATCCTCCTCAGCTGCAGATACATTAGGATGGATGGACTTCATATTGACTATGTGCATCTGAAACAGAGCAGAGAGGTTAGGGGACGGCTGCGGCGCGGCAGCCTGCTGAATCAGACAGTGAAGCGCTTTTTACTGACCAAACTGTACCTCCATCGGGTATCTGCGTCCGTCCACCGTGTGCTCAGAGCCATTCGTCGAAGGGTCTCCCCAGTGGAAGTGAACCTGGACAGTGTGGTAAACACCTGGAAGACCTCCGCCACTTACAGACATCCCACTTCCAACCTGTAACAAAACTGGGAGGGGAGGGGGGCGCGACACGAGTGTCAAATTTAACTCTAAAACAGGAGGCCTCTGTGAGCAAAGCTGCAGGTTGGTCACCAGAGTGTCCGTCGTTCTCCAGCGTCCACTGGCCTGTTTGGGTCTCATCGAAACCCTCCAGATGTAAAGGCCCCAAGGAGAGGTTCCGGACCATGTGATGGTCCAAGTTGATGGGGGAGTGGTGGCCCCCTAGGAGAGGGTGGCATGAGGGGAAGAAGTCTCCCCAGGCGTAAGGATCTGATGGAGAAGGAAGGTGAGGAAATACGTTTAGTGAAGGAGAATTTCAAAGAGTCGACCGAATTTACAAAATATAAACAAGAACAAAATATTTTTAAAAAATTCAAGCAATGCAAAGAAAGATTTACTTAAAAATGACATTTTTAAAGATTTTTCCACCAAAATCAGGAAGTAAATTGTTTGAGTTTTAGTCTGGATCATCAAGTCTTACTTCTCAACAGGTGTATTAAGACCAATTCATCACTAAAAAATCCAGTCACACTTACTTTACAATCATGACCATGGGCGGTTCAAGACAGGGGCTGACCAGGGGGCAGGGCCACAGTGGAATTAATCCGGCCCCTGCTAAAGCCGCTGAAGTAACGAAATCTTACCAAATAAAACAATATGTGCAGTCACAGAAAACATAAGAGGTGCGTCCCCCGGATCATTTTTTTTATTTTTTAAAGCTTTATTTCAACATTCATGGAATTTTTTTTAGCTTAAGTAATATTGAGATATGATCACAGTTTTAATCCGCTATATCTGAGGTTTCCAGAGCTGCAAATGTTTATTTGGTTCACTTAGCATTTCAAAAGATGAATCTTTTTTTTTTTTACTGCCCCCAGGAAAAAAAAAACTGACCTCACCCTGCCCCCTCCGGTAAAATGTGTCTGCTCAGAATCAGGATACAAGAACACATGTAGTTGGGGTATTTAGTTATACATTTTTTTCCCACAACTTCAATTTTAAAAGCAAAACTGAGATCCTGTTTCAGTTTAAAGTGACAGTATAAGCTTTGACCCTGGTTTTAGCTTCATTTAATCTATATTAAAGGAAAAAAACCTGATGAATTATAAGGTAAATTATACACACAGATTTCATCTGTAGCAAAAGCTGCCGTTTAACCAATAGGGAGAATAATGGGGCAAAAAAACCTGAATAATTTTTTGTTTAAATCCTCTTAATGGCAGACAAATCTGCAATGACTGCTTAAAGTACAAAAAGGTATGTTTAAAAAAAAAACTATTCCTTTTACATTTTCTTTTATAGATATTTAGTTCCGGCATAACATTAGAAGAATAAGGAAGGATTCAAATCTCAAAAAGCTCCAAAAGTTAACAAAAATAATACTTATTAGTTTACTCACCACAATCTGGCTCATGGTAACAGTAATCCTCTGGAAGACATAAATAACCAGCATAATAAGCAAACCGTTTCCTTACTAGTAATGATTTTTTAATATATATATGAATGTAGATTCTTACGCGAATCAGCGCACAGAACAAGAACCACCAGAAGAGCTGCGCTCCGAACCATCATGGCTTCAGACAGGTGCTTCAGTATCTTGAGGTAGAATGGAGACGAGTCAGCAGGAAGGTCCAGCTTAAGTATGGCAGGAGGTGAAAGCTGAGTTTTATTTTCTCTTGGACGGATCAGTGAACTGTGTCATTACCAGTGCAGCCGTCGTTTTTGATCAACAGGCTCATTGATGCGGGGACGGCTTCAGCCCCCCCCCCCCTCCTCCCAGCAGCCATCAGAGATGCTCAGAGACTAGTAACAAGAGCCATTCATGAGGAAGTCAGAGGATGTGCTTTTCTATCAATGTGCATTGTTTACTAAAGTCTGTATTTAAAGGGCTAAGGTTAAAAAGGGTTTTAACAAATGAAATCAATTTAGTCTAATTTCAAAATTGAAAAGTTAACTACAGGTATTTTAACCATCTAAAAAGATTCATTCAACATTTTATTGTTCAAATAGAACAGAATTGATGAGCAGAGGCTGGTTTATGGTCTAAATATAAATATTTTGACACATATGTAATTGTATTATCAAAGATTGAAGAAAAATGTATATTTCCCTCCATAAAAAGGCAAATTTATTGCTTTTAATTGGCTATTGCCATAAGTGGCTCACAAATCTAGGTGTGAGTTTTGCTGGTAACACCTCTATCATCTAGAAATAGATTTTTGCGATCTGTCACTGGTCGGTCCGTAAGGCACAAAGCTCCTTTTCATCCCCAGCAGCCCTCTTCAGCTGGGTATCACTCTCTCTGTTCTGCCTGCAGCCGTATGAGTCACTCTGAGTGGTAAAATATTCGCTTACTTCAAATCGTCTCGATCTCTGGGTGCCCCAGTCTCACAGACTGGAGGATCGGTGGGATGGGGTGGGGGATTTCCATGCATTCCACCTTAAATCTCTTTGACATTTGGTCACTGCAGGTGGAGGGATTTCCTTGACAAGGAAGAAAAAAAAAATAAAGAGGATAAATGTCGAGTGAACAGGCCTAGCATAAAGTTTGGATTGTGTTCTCGCATTTCGCAGATTAGACGTAGATCCATGTCAAAAAGGAAAAAAAAACACAAGTTCCTGCAATTTTTTCCCCAGTTTTTAATTTAAGAGCTGTCAAGTATGAGACAATGAAATGTAGAATAAGTTGCATTACAGTTTAAACCCCCTGAAAAAGAGACAAGCACAGAAACTACAGAGTAAATTAAATCAGTTTGTGTGGAGAGCTGATTTAAAGTCCATACAAAAACGTTAAGCTAAATGTATGAGCCTTTAGAGCTACTGTACACTATTGTGCTAAAAAATATCTCTCAGCATGCCAGCACATAAAAAAATACATGCACCAAAAGGTACATAAAACAAGAAGGAAAACAAAGATGGTGCAAACAGAACTGAACAGCATCTCTTTAAAAACACACATGCTCACTTTTAACAGCGTATGAAAACAGGATTTTGTCTGCTGGAGAATCCATTGTGGATTGTCAATGCATGGATTAAAAAAATAAGTGAGTGTAAAGATGAGCACAAAAAGTCATGTTTTATATATTCAGTACATTCAAACAGGAGATGTTCAGTCAGAGATACATTAAGCTATTGTTTGAGGAGGGGGGCTGGATCATAGTTTGGATGCTGTTGCTGCTGGTGGAGGAGGAACCTCTCCAAATCCGATCCACAAAAATTCTAGCTTCATCAAAGGAAAAGACAAACTGATATCTTTCTTTCTACATTTTTTTTATACATCATTAAAGAAAAACTGATCAGTAAGAAAAAAAAAAAAAAAACAGCAGAAGTTTGGCAGAAACATCCTCTCCCTCTGCTTTTGATGCCTTCCATAGCTGCACACACAGATCTACTGCGTAGACGTTCAATCTAGGCATGGGCTGGACAGGATGACATTTACTTTGCAACCCCCCCATTCTGACACCTGCTTGGCTGATTTTAATGTTTATATAATTCTCATTAGAATGTTAGAAAAAAAAAATCCAGCGGTTTCTAAACATTTCTATTTAAACTGAATTTGGCAACCATCTGTAAAGCAGCAGACTGCAGGCTACTTCTCTGACCAGACAGACATTAGTGACATTTTGATTTTTTTCTCCAAACAGTTTTAATAACTTCGAAGCACAGATAGAGCCTATTGTGATTTATTATTTGCAAAGATGCCAAAAAACAAACAAACACTGAAGTTGGTTTATGATTGAGCAGGTGGTATACTTCAGTACATTTTCTTTGGACCCTGATCAAGCTGATTTTTTTTTCTTTTACTGTGCATTTATTAGTATAATACTACAGATTTTTTTCAAATTTGGATCAAAGCTTTTGTTTGATTTTCACATTCAAAGTTGAGGTGAGAAAGTTTTGACTATGTCTCCATTGTCCCCATTTCTGAATGAGATTATTTCGAGTCTTATGCCTAGTCAAATTTCAATATTTATCTTTTAGACAATATACTGAAGGATAATCTGGGTCAATAAATGTTTCCCAAACTCATCCAGACTTGGAATAATTTAAAAAACAATGAATCCAGATTTAAAGGCTTCAAAGGAACCTTGTAAACAATCAGACACTCAATGTAGATTTCGTTCAATCCGTTTCTGACTGAAGAAAACAACTATTTTATTCTTCGTGTTTTATCAACAACAGGGTTATATTTTAAGTAAAGCAATTAGACCTTGTTGCAGGCTGAAATTTTATTTCAGATTTGTATATAATTTCTTTTGCTAGTCCATGCCTGGTTGGCACAGCCTGGGAGGGAGAGGCAGCATCCGTGACAATAATGAAGTTTTCCCTCACAAATCAAAACGTGAAGACTGTACAGAGTAATGAAACAGTTCAACAACATATAATACATCATTATATGCTAACAAGTAGGGCTGGGCGATAAACCGGATTTTTACCGCTGCCGTCATTCTCTATGATAACCGGCGACAATTTTCTTATGTTGGTGAAATAAACTTAATTCTGCTGTTTTTCCTGTGTTCAAGGGTGGCTGATATTTCCATTCCCCTTTAAGACACAGCAGCGTGTGTGTAATAAAATGAAGCCTTAAATGGCCAAGCTCCATCTTACATCAGATCAGATTGTTCCTAATGTCCCTGAAAGAGAACTTCGCTCTCAATCCGCAGGTTTACTAGTGGTTCCTAGATTTTCTAAAAGTAAAATGGGAGGCAAACCTTTTAGTTATCAGGCTCCTCTCCTGTGGAACCAGCTACCAGTTTTAGTCCATTAGGCAGACACCCTGTCTACTTTTAAGGCAAGGCTTGCAACTTTACTTTTTGATTGCTTATATTCAACAGTGGCTTAGGTTATCCTGAGCTTCTTTATAGTCATGATGCTATAGGCTTAGACTGCTGGAGGACATAGGGACCCCTATTTCATCATTCTATCTCTATTCTCCCATTCTGCAGTATTTGTTAGTTCGATCTCTAACATACTGATCTTTCTGCTTTTTCTCATGGTAGCTTTATCTGGTCTGTTCCTGTTTGGCTGAGACACCATCCTGGAGAGAAATAACAGCTGTGCTGCTGCCATCAACACCTTTGTTCATAGATGTTGGAGCTTGGCCTGTTTTTCAGTGTAGTCCCGTTTCTCTCATTGTGACTGGTTGGATGGGCTCTCTTTGTCCTCTGACGTGGGGGCTGACCCGGAGCTTGTCTGCCTGGCTGTGTGTTTCCTGGACACACCTGGACACCTGTGGAGCTGGTTTATAGCTGCCTTTTGTATCTCTGCTTCTGTCTCCTTGAACCCCAGTTGGCCTCGGCAGATGGCCGCTCACACAGAGTCAGGTTCTACTGGAGGTTTCCAGTTAAGAAGTGGCTAACACAGCCGTAAACGAAATAATATCAGTTAATCCTGTCGTATTGGTTCCCAAAAAAAATTCTGACGTCTGTAATTTGTAAATATTTTGTGTTCCATAGTAGATGTAGAGCAAAAGAATATGCGAAATGCTACCCAAAACTACCCAAAGTGACACCACCTACAGCAAAACCACACTGTTGAGTTTGAGGACGTGCAAAAGGCTCCATTACCTTTGCACAAAAATATTTCCGAGAGGTAACATTTTTCTCCTGTTCAATGAGACATTGTTGAAAGTTTGAACTTTTATGTTTACAAGACTTTATGTTTATTTGAATTAAAATGTAACCTGGTTTGGTCAATAAATACATGAAAAATAGATCAGTTGCATTTCCTACACCTGCCATTATTTTCAGAGAGCAGGAGCATTTATCGTTATCAAGGTAAAATTGTCCAATTTATCGTGATATCGATTTGAGGTCATATCGCCCAGCCCTACTAACATGCGATTTTCCCTTTCTATAAACTCAAATGCTTTAATATTTATTCTGTAACCATCTCTACATTGCATCATTGATCAAAGTCTAAATCAGCTTACATGTTTCCAACAATCAACCAAAATAATCAAACTGCAGTCATAAATTAAGACCAAACAGAACACAACACCAAACTGATTATCAGCATCACCATTCTTCTGATATCTAAAGCTTTTTTTTTTTTTTCCCCAGCATAGCCCGATAAAAACCCAACTACCAACAGCCTCCTTAAAGTTAATCTCTGAGCTAAAAAATATCTGGTTCTGCAAATCTGCGCTATAAATCTGGAAGACAGCTGCTTAGGTCAGATTGTAAAAATGAAGGGGGGGGAGCAGAAGGTTTTAATCAGCTCTGGGTCATGCTGCGGCAGAAAGGAGTGGATGTTATAGTAGCTTGGAGATCAATAAAGATGCTGCAGTTTCAAAGTGTGACGCCAACAAAAAGCGCACAAAGCAACACAAGTTGGGTTTGTCGTTTTCTCTCGTTGCTGGACTAAAACATCGGCTCTATAAAGTCTGATCCTCAGGGAGCTCTCACCCAATTTAGCTGCTTCTTAGCTTTTTTTTCCTAGTATGCACAAAAATAAGTGCAGCCGTCGAGTTATCGGGTTGCTCCCTCAGATGCCAGCGACTTCAAAAACAAAGAAACAGCTGAAATGTCTTCAGAAAAAAAAAAAACGCCCCGCTGCAAGGAGGCGTCAGCTGCTCCTTCTCGTACGTCTATACAAACTATAGGTCTACTCCCTGAAGCCGACATTAACAGCCTGCAGTTCTAACTCCTGATAGCCCTCCCTCTTAGGCTCCTATACAACAGTGCTGAGAGAGGAGGTGCAGTCTGAGGGCAGAGAAGCGGGGCTGTGGCCATCTGTTGGTGTGTCAGGTCCCACCAGGAGCGTGCTGCTATCTATGGAGTCCTCCCTCTCTTGAGACGATGGCACAGAATCTGGCACTGGACAAGGGGAGGTGGGAAGGTCGGCCTCCAGCCCGTCCCCCATAGTGTTCATCTGGCTCGGCACCATGGAAACCCCGCTGTGTCCTGGATGCGACAACGAAGAGCAGAGAAGATAAGAGCTCAACAGTTTACATGACAACCTGGTTGAAAAACAAGAGGTTGTTCCCCATACCGAAGTCCACGTAGAGGAAGGTGTCTGGGTTGATGGAGGCTTCGTATGGTGGGGGGGGATCATCCGGGTGCTGGATGTCGGGGTATTTATAGGCTGCGTACGGCGGGGGAGGCTCCTGGAAATGGAAAGCGCCCCCCTCTCCATCGTCAGACAGATGCAGAGGAGTGAGACCAGTTCCAAAGGCATCAGGTCCGTAGTCGAAGCCTGGAACTCGTCGTCCTAGGTTGAAGTGGTGCACTGAGGGCATGCAAGAGTGCAGAAACAGAGGAAAGGGAAATGTTACTGCCCTGATTAGAAAGAGGGGAGCAGTCAGAACAGACAGATACAAAATATCCTAAAAAACAAGCAATTTGCAGATCAGTGAATGCACCACAGTCAGACAGATGTTAAGAGCTGAGATGTTTTTTGCTGGTTCAAGCTACTTAAATTCCAGACAAATATTATCTTATTTTAAGACACAGATGTATCACATCAAATAAAAATGATCTAATATGAGATAATTGTTAATTAGATAATTATTATAATGTATTCTTGCACTGCAAGAAAAGACTTTATAATTAATAAATAAATTCTGATATTAATAGCTTCCATTTTTAGTATATCATTTGTGAATATAGCCTATGGATTTATTGCTTTTCAACCTATCTTACCCATCTTTAGTTATAATAAAAAAAAGGTTAAATGATATTATTTGACAAGTTTTATTCAACTGGTGAATCAAACTTTTTTTAAAGGTAAACAACAACAAAATCACAAACAATTTTATTTATTTAGAAAAACAATAAACAGTTTCAATCCCCCCTCGAAATAAAGAGACTAGGTTAGAGAGGCAAACTTTGAGCTTTTAGGCTATTAGGGATAAAAAAATAAATTAACTTAGCAAATGCCAGCATCACTAAAGCTTTTATAAAACAAAATCAGAGAAACCACGGAGATAGAAGACACCATTTAAAACAGGAAAAGCTTGTTTTTCATGATATTATAGCACTCTTCTAATGGCAATACTGTGATCAAATTAGTTGGAATAAACTAAAGAAAATTCTATTATCTTTCATCATCAGTTCTCCAAAACACTGGGTGATCTTTAGCATCTTCCTTCTCTATCAGGCTAGAATTTAATCACAGAATTTTCATAATTCGTCTGAAAACAAAAATCCCACTTTATAACTCATATGCTTACAGTTTCCACCGATCAGAGTTTCGATGCGTTCACGTCTTCTCTGACGCAGTCTGTGCACCATGAAGAGCAGCAGCAACAGTATGAGAAAGGATGAGATGCAGCTGACGATCAGCCTCATCCCACTAGCCATCGAATCAAACAGACTGCTTCCATCTGAAGGGGATAAAACAAACAAAAAAAGCTCTAAATTAGATTTTTTTTCACTCATGCACAAAAATCAAGCAACATCCCTCTAATTAATAATTGCTTAAAGAATGTACATCAGTGCTCTATTTTTTATTTTACAATAATAAGCAATATGACCCAACAACAAGGGTAAGCCGGGTTAAATAACTCGATGATATGAGGCCAAACTGGGACTGTACCAGGATCTAGGCAGGTGAACTTGCAGCACTCCTTGGGGTCCTTTTGAAAGTGATTGCAGCCTTGCGGTCGCTCACACAGCGCCGCCACACACATCTCTGGCTCGCCGTCATGACATGTGCAGCTCAAACACGGGTCGTCTCCCTTCGGGGTGAAGTAGTAGCCCTCGTTTACGACATTGTCTTTTATGTCAACGCATGTCTGCCCTGTGGAGGAGAGGAAAAAACACAATATCAGTTAAACGACCACTTATTGACATATCAGGAACATAAAAAAAAAAAGTAAACAGAGAGAGCTCCTACTCCTCTTGCACAGGAAGGGGAACTTCTTGTAGCAGTTTTCAGCGTGCCAGCTGTGCAGGCCTCGTTCATTCATGCTCCTGATCTGAAAGCGTTGCAGCTGGGCGCAGAAGACGTTATCCTGGGAGGGAGACGTCTCCCCAAACTTCTTTAAGCCTTCAGGTGGTAAAAACACCTGCATTGACCCTGTTAAGAAACAAAACGTGTTACTACTCAGTTCAGATTGGTGCGCAGAGTCAATACAGCTCATCTTTCATTTGCTACCTTTATATGCTACTTCCCAGCGGCCCTCCAGGGTGTGACTTCGATTGGTGATCACATACTGATAGCCTACCCAGAACCTGAAAATGGAAAAAATAAATATCACTGTATGAAGGATTCAAGTCCGAGTTCATGAACTGGCACATATTCACCACTAGATGGCATGCTATCATTGTGATCCTTTTAAGAATCACTGCACATTTTTGTTTACAATAAAAAAGCCAAATCTGTTGGTGAAGGCAGAGCATCATGGTTCTAAAATTAAAAGCCATTTAAAATAAAAATACTGATCAAACACTTACTTGCACTGGTCTCTGCGCTCACACACTTTGTCATCAGAATCCACTTCGATCTTCAGTATGAACTGCAGTTCCTCGCTGGTTACGAACGTAGCCAGAGAGCCGTTAACCTTCTGGCACGTATCCACAGCCTGCCAGTAGTTCTCATTCTTCAGGTACACTTTGTAGCAGCTGGCTGTCTTATCGTAGTGATGCCACCCGCTGGGGCATTTCTCTGTAAGCAGGGGTCAAGGTTTAGACGGCTGCACAGGATAAAACTACATCAATGCTCACATCCTGAAAGCAAAGTTAGATACTTACTGTTGAAGCGCACTGGCTGAGCAACACCCATAGCATCTTCTACCTGCTCGTATCCGTCCTCAAATCGAAACCTTTCCTCCTTTAAAACTGAGAGAACATTTTAACTATCAGTTAACTGCATTTGGTTGCAATGCAAATGTTCTTTGAAACCAGAAGAGGATATTCATCCATTCAAACCCAAAATCTCTTAGTTAAAAGATCAAGAGTGGCTGGAAAGCTTTGCAGATTTTAGCCTCTTCTGAGAATGATTAAGAGTTTAATGAGATTAAGATCTGGACAGACGGAAGAACTCTGGCATTGTCTGCACACAACAAATGCTGCTCCTGCAACAAGGCCAGGGAACTGAGACCTAAACATAATGCTTCTTGATGCAGGTGGGGGGAAGAAAATAATAAAAAAACAAAAAAAAAACAAGGATGTGCACAGTAGAAGAGAGCAGATGAATTACGATTACTTTTCAGTGAGCTAAAGGTCAAAGAACAGGAGCTTCTGCCAGCAGCTGAAAAGAGAAGGTCAATATAAATAAGAGGAGGTGTCTGTTAAGCATGGAGGTCATTTCTGATGATGAGACAAGTTAGTTTCTTCTCACTTTGCTTTGTCTAGCAGCTTTACTCCAACAGTCTGGTCTCTCTGTTCAGACGTGGCAATAACAAACCTATAACGTCAGTGCTGAGCAGCCAATCAAAGGTCTCCAACTTTCTGTATTTCCAGTAGCTACAACCTTCAGCACTTCATGTGGCCTTTAGATTAGCTAAAGAACAGTGCAGTAAGAGATTCATGGAAGCCGTTTCCATGACAGAGAAGCTGCATTCAAGCGTTACATCATCAGGTGCAACACACAGCTTTGTGTGAAATGATATGAAGCATTGAACCAAGCTCCATAGAAGTGAGGAAATATTCTCAGGGGTGATGAATCGTGTCTCACTAACTGGAAATCCAATTTGATCTGGGTTTTAGCTGCTCTATCTGACTACATCGTGCCACGAGGAACACGTAGAGAGGACAAATTGTGTATATTCAGTCCCTTTAGTTATTATTTAGCAGCATACAAAGTATGCAAACATTATGTCGGTTTTATGTAAACAATCCTGAGGTGACGGCCCCTTTCAGCAGATTACACAAGAGTCAATGAAAGTTTCACAAATACATCAAGTTAGAGTTCAACCCGACCACACACAACCCGACCACACAGCAGAGATGGAGAGCCAGCCTTTCTCGTTCAACATTGGTGTCTGACCTCATAAATGTGCTTCTAAATGTCTGAAAAAGAGAAAAGGATGATCCAACATCAGAATAGGCAAACGACCCAAATGTGGCCAGCAACATAACCACAGCGCGTTGCAGCACAGATCCCAGAGGGCTCTTTATAAACAGTTCTAAACATGTAATCAAACAGGAAGAAGCATTAAACATGACAGCCAGAACCTATTCTAAAAACAAAAGATGTGATCTCTTTATCCTTTGCAGCCAGCGTTGGTGCCTGTTTAATACATTTGGCCTTTCGAAGGAATGAGAGGGGGCCAGTGTGATACCTTAATCAGCTGTACAGCCAAAGCATTAACTCAAAGCTTGAATAGCTACTCCTTTATGGAGGTCACATGTTGAACTCAATCCTTTCAATAATTCCCACTATGCCGTCAGGGATCCGGCAAGACTTCAGGATTTATGGGGAAAACAATGGGATTTTGGTCAACAGGCTTAGCTCTGTAACATCTAAACACTGTGGAGGGGATCAGCCTAATGGTGAAAAAGAAAAAATCATGACAAAAAATCTTGCCTTTAGACACTATAAGTCCCGACTCCTTCTGAATCTCATTTCTGTTTTTAAAAGCTGCTTGCATACGATTTGTACCTTCAGGTGTAAAATATTGTGCATGCTGCAGGGCTTTTGAGAAATCGATCAAAGTCGTTAGAACGATGGAGGCTGTAGGTGAGTTTTACTTACGGGGACAGTCCATCTCATCACTTTTGTCCTCGCATGCTGTCCAGCCGTCACACTGCCAGGACATGGGAATACACTGCATCTTCCCACTGCGGCAGGCGAACTGCCCAGGGTTGCAGCGTTGCTCTGAAACATAAGGCCATCAGTCGGGTCAAACGTTTCTTTCCTTACAAATAAAACACAGTGGGCGATCTAAAATATGCAGATTAAGTGTTTGAAATCATAGATTATGATGATTGCGGTTGGAATGGATGCAAATACTGTTCCCATTTAAGATAAACCAGCATCAAGAGAGGGGCAAACTGTATCAGAAGCTTTAAAGATTTTAACTGCACTGCTTTTTTACCTTCTCCAATAAATGAATGATAATAAATGAAAGATTCTCCAATCAGCAGACAATATCTGATCTTGCCAGCTCATATTTAAAGACACCGCTGGTCCATCTCAAACAGCTTGTTCAGACAAATCCATTTCAAAGAGTAATTTATCTCACTTTAAAAAGACCACGTCACCAAAGGAGAACAACAGCACTGTTTGTGTAGCGTCGTCAAGTTCTAAGTAAAGGCCTTCAGTTGAAAAGATTTCATAACGACGAAAGGCACTGAATCATCCTCCTCCAACCCTTACTGAGCTCTATTATTCAGCTTTGGAAATCAAAACATTAACAGTTAGTTGGACTGTACGAAAACTATTTTTATGAAAGGTAACCCTTCAAAAAACACTTTTGAAAATCTCCCTTGTTAAAAAAGAATGATTAGAAGTTATCTTTACATAAAACAGGTTTTCTTACTGGTGCTTCCTAAAAAAAATAAAAAACAAATAACGCCTTCTTACCTGACAATAATCTTGCCAGAGCTAGCCGTGGACCTGGAATAAATAAAAACAATGATGTGACTATCTGGCTTATTGGACTGTTTCAATTTTACTTTCAAATCAGCTGACCATAACAAACCTAATTATACTAACAGATTATCTTAAATGAAAATACACAATTAACTATCTTCTTAAACCTGATTATACAAAATTATGATTATTTCTTTAAAATGAATATTCAAAAATGTCCAATAAGAACACTGGATCAAATATACCAATGTTGATCTAGTTTTGCAAAACAATCATGTCTGAACAGCAGGTTAATTTAAAGACTGTGTTTTAAGTGAATGGAGACGCTACAAAACCCTAGAAACAATACATTCTTCTCTGTTAAAAGCCATTTAGGATCACTCAGCTACCATCCTATTTTTAGTCATACTAAGTGAACTGAGATGTGCTCCAAGTGCTTCAAGGTTTTGTTGGTTTCTAGGGTCTGAACCCATTATGACCCACAAGAATGGATAGCATTAAAAGCCATGGATATAAATATACATCACTGAGGAGGAGTATTAATATTTAGGTCTTTAGGTAGAAATGCAGCTGGCTCTTTATGCCTTGGCAATATGTTGTTGTTCCTACAGCACACTATAAATGCACATTTAATGCTGCATGAGATCCAAGGCTGCCTGCATGCATCATTATTCATATATCTGATGCATTTTTGATAACTGTGCAGCTGACAACTGCAGAAGTACTGAATTTAATCAGATCCCACAGCAGCTTAATGTTATCAGATATTAATGTCCAGCTTTGATTATCACCAATCTACCATGTTCCCGTTCTAAAGCGCTTCCTAATGATTATGCCTCCCCACAATCTGATTTCTCTCGAAATAGAAACGGAGTATCTGAAATGACTGTAGCCTGAAGCTGTTTGAGACGTTGTTTGCTCGGGGTTTCATTACAGAGAGGATGATTACTGATGGTTCTTAATTAACCGCAATTCAGAAATGAGAAAATTGACATGACAATAAAGCGATGTTAGATGAAAGAAAAAAAAACTGGTGGCTGGATTGAAGGGATTTGTGAGGGGAAAAAATTAAAATTCGATCTGTTAAGAAACTACAAAATTTAGTGAGATATCTAAAAGGCAATCATATTTGAAGCACATATATGCTATAGTGTAGTAAGATGGATTCATGCCCTTAATGCTGATACTTTATGAAGATGATAATAACTTTGCATTGTGATGAGAGAAACATGAAGAAAGGACAATTATGGGTTAATAACTACCAAAATAATATCGGAAAATTAAATATCTTTAGCAAGTTTTTTTGTTTTATACCATGCAGCCCTAATGCACCAAGCCCTTTATAATGAACTAAAACTATAAAGCTCATCACTCTATTGTCTGATAAATCAATCGTTTAAAGCCTTCAAAAAATGTTTGTACCGTATTTTCACGACTATAAGGCGCACTTAAACGTCTTTTTTCCCCCTCAAAATGTGCGGTGCGCCCTATGGTGCGGTGCGCCCTATGTGTGTTGTAACTGCGACTTTTGAGACCACCTCATTGAGGAGATGATGAAAGAGTGGCTGAATGTAAGGAGACCAGCTGTTTTTTTTCCACTCATCACCATTAATCTGTAACTCCATGCGTGCCCATCTCACAGCTGATGTGAAAAACATGGGGAAACAAATTAACCCTGTGCTCGCTGTTCAACCGCTCGACATCGGTCCGGACCCAGCAGGTGCAGCAGAAGCAGCGAGGAATAACGTGTCTGCTGGCTCTGTTCTTCAAGCTTTTGCAAAAGTAGGCATTATTTCTGAGGAGCCGCGCTGCACGGAAAGTGACTCTGACAGCGCAGAAGGGGAAACTGGCATGTCTGATTTAGCGCAGCTGTTTAATTCAGAAACAGAGGATGAGGACTTTGAGGGGTTTGATTAATACTTTGTAATAAATACATGAATAAAGCGCAATCATACTCAGTTTTGCTCCCGCTCTATTTTTCTACCTGAAAACTTAATTCAACAGCAGGCTCTGGTCCGCGGAGCATCCGGACTCACCTCCGCAGGTGTTTTTTCATCTAAATAATCTAAATCTTTTTAAGTGAGAAAGTCCACCTGAAAATTTAATCATTGCAGTCAGTTCATCCAGATTATTATCCTATGTTTTAAGTTAATGTATGCGTCAATAAACGAAGAAGAAGGGGAAACCGGCATGTCGGATTTAGCGCAGCTGTTTAATTCAGAAACAGAGGATGAGGACTTTGAGGGGTTTGATTAATACTTTGTAATAAATACATGAATAAAGCACAATCATACTCAGTTTTGCTCCCGCTCTATTTTTCTACCTGAAAACTTAATTCAACAGCAGGCTCTGGGCCGCGCATCCGGACTCACCTCCGCAGGTGTTTTTTCATCTAAATAATCTAAATCTTTTTAAGTGAGAAAGTCCACCTGAAAATTTAATCATTGCAGTCAGTTCATCCAGATTATTATCCTGCCTATATTTTAGGTTAATTTATGCGTCAATAAATTGTATCAGAGGAGTAATCACAGCCCTGTGTCATCAGCGATGTGTCTCTCATGGCCAGCTCCCAGGTTTGAATAATACTTTGTAATAAATACACCTTGCAGCTTTATTTGCTGTGATCAGTGGGAATAAAGTAGTTTTAATATGTTTTTAAGTGGGAAAATCCACCTGAGAGGACATGTACCTGTATATAAAAAATGCGCCCTATAGTCCGGTGCGCCTTATGTGTGTGTTAAATACAGAAATGGGACACATAACTGAGAGTGCGCCTTTTAGTCCGGTGCGCCTTATGGTCGTGAAAATACGGTACATTTGTTTATTAGTGAGGTAAAGATGTAGCCTGGGTGCCATTCCGAACTTAGTCCAGCCCACAAAGTTTGAGGTCGGGGAAGTTTGGTCTGGCTCTGCTCCATAGTAGCGCCAGTATTATCGCCCACTGTCAGGTGATCCAATCAAATTGTCAGGGCGGGCTTTATACGATGATGGACAGATGACCAACAGTAACGTAATCAACCACGTGACCAATGCGCGCTTGGGTGACAACAATAATGGCTGCCGCTGGAGAGTTTAGGTGAGTAGATTCTGCTATTAGGTCTGTTCTAGAAGATATCGACAGCAAATTAATTTTAAAAGAGGAACAGAGAAACGCGATCAAGTCTCATCTTCTTATTATAGGCATGCAACTGCACGCTTTGATTTTTGTGGACAACAACTATGCCTCGCTTAACATACGTCACGCACTCCGTTGCTCTTATTGGTTGTAGCTCTATCCAATTGAGTGCAGAGGCATTTTTTTTCCTGGTTCGTTCGAAACACGCCCCATAATCACAGCTCTATGGAGCAGTATCAGACTCATATTCTGACTAGAATTGAGTAGGACTACGTCAGGCTAGGAAAGATGGAGGGCGTTTAAAAAACAAAATCTTTATTGTCATGTGCAAAGCTTACAAAATTAGATATAGGTCAATTTTGTTAAACTATCACAACGTTTTATTTATTTTCCCCAATCTCTACATCTGACAGTGAAAAAGAGGTTTTCTCGGCTGATTTAACTTTAAATGTGAAAAGGCCTGAACTGCTGGTTGAAAAAACAACCAAGACCACCTGTCTCTGGTAGTGATTAGCACAGAACCCAGCTGGAACAGCAGTCGTGAAATTTTATGAAGTCCAAAAGCACTGGGTTCATGAATCAGGAGGAAGAATGTCTGGTACTTCACAGAAGATTCTTTGGAAGCCGAATTATGAACAAGTGACTGAGCGGAGAGAAAACATGACAGAACTAGCCTAGCGGTTCGACTCCAAATAAAACAAATTAACATTTGCAAGACAGTCAATAAAAAGCACAAAAACAAAAAAACACTGCAGCTGTAAAAATTCTGAGAATAAAACTAAAACCTGATTCTCTTTCTATATTCCATGAACCAGCTGTTTGGATTTCAAAGTAAATAGCTGCTGTTTGAGAAAGATTTTTGACATCGGCATTTTCTGATGTGTAGACAGTTTATAGTGTCTTGTGTAACAAGAGGAACACACAATAATTCCTTTTAAGAACGTCCCAACATCCGTCCGACAAACAGAACAGTGATGCTGCAATGCACAGAAGCTGAACTGTCCCTGACAGCGATGATTCAACTTGGAGGTTTGCTGTTAAAAGCAGTGAGTGGGAACAGGCAATTATTTTCCTTTGAACCTCCTCACATTTAAAACCATCCCTTGGCAGACAAAAGCTCTCCGGGTCAAATTTCCTCAAAACCTAACTAAAGTAAACAGTTTTCGCATTGAAAAACGGATTGCCGCTTTTGCTGTTTTAATGGATTAACAAGAAGTCAATCTTTTCTCTTTTTTTTTTTTCCTTCACAGACAGAATTCACAGTTTCACTTCTTATGTGACAAATGTAACACTTAAAAATGGTAGGTAGTGATGGAGAACTACCTCTTTTTATAAGGAAATGTTGCACAGTCCGTGCAAACAGAGGGGTAGTAACAATCGAAACTGCTAAATGCATAAAATTATATTTAACTCAGATGTCATTATCACTTCATGTTTTTCAGAAATGTGTCAATAAAATCTTTTTTTTTTTTTTTACTTTCTATACATTTTTTACATTCCAATTAGCCAAACAGGGCATGCAAGTTTTTTTTTTTTATTGCTGAAAAGTTGTTAACCCAAACCTGGAATATTTAGAGGATGAGGAATGTTTTACAGCTTCCTATGAAAGTAAATAATAAATCCTAACAAATATTAACAGGATCAAATATTTAGTTTCATATTTTGTATGTACAGTAAATGAACAGGCTTTGCAATTTCTTACATAACGCTGTTAAGTAAACTAAGTGTTGCAATTTGTCCTGGACTAAGGGTGTTTAAGGGTGGTGCGCTTGATCGGTCCAGACCGAAAGCTGACTTTTTTCTTGTTTGTTGAACTTCTCTTTCAGATTTTACTTAAAGCAAGTATACTACTCACAGACAAACAAAAAAAAGAAAATAATCAAACTTGTGATTGGACAAACACAGCTAGGAGCACAGATCCTGAAAACCTGAAACCTGTGCGTAGGGCCTCTGTTCTACATATCTGTGTCGTTTTTACAGCTCCAAATTCAGGTCTTATTTGGAACATTGTCAGAGAAGCCATGCTGCTGGTTCTGGCAACACCAGATGCAATCTTCCCCAAAGTCTGGTTCAAAGTGGACGTTTGCACTTCAAAAAGTAGGTCTTGGTCTGAATCTTTGGTCCAGACAGAGTGTGCTTGAGCTCATTAACACCAGCATGAAAAGTCCAAATCGAGGGGTGGACCAAAGTTTATACTAGACTAAACTTCACAGGTATGGATACACCAGAAACCAAAACAACTCTTCTGTTCCATTATATAAGCAAAATAGAGGCCTATTATTTTGTTTTGTTATCAAATGATCGACTGAACACAAGAAAACGTGATCACCACTTAGGCTGTGTCCAACTGTCCGCCCTATCCCCTAAATCACTGTATAGATCGGGGACTATAAAATGGACTTTATAAGCAACTCAGTTAACTGACCATTCAGACAGATGATCACTACTTTTCGATCCCCGTTGGTCACGTAAGTCCATCCAGTAGTGCCTGCGCCATCTTTGTTATTAGTCGCCCCCGTCGGGTAGCGACAGCAGGCTGCTTTGACAGAAATCCCATAATGCTTTGCGAGGATACAAAGCATTCCGGGATACATCTGCTCGTCTAGGCTATGTCCGAATGTCTGCCCTAACCACTATGTAGGGCACTATATAGTGGTTACGGTATAGGTACCAGATCTGGTCTCCATTCGGACAAACTGTATTGCACCAGTTTGTTAAGAATCAAATCTCTTTTGAAATCTCAAAATATTATAACATATATTTGCTATTATTTTACATTTCATTGGCAGTCTAAAGTAGCTGAAAGCAGAAAACAATCATTGTCAGTCTTGAAGGAAAGTACTGCATTCTAATACTGAGCTCTGCCATTTAACAAGGCGACAAAAAAAGTCTTAGCTTATTTCTATTCTTTTTATTAAGATTTGAGGGCAGGGGAGGACAAATGGGACATCTTGAAAAATTACTTTCATAGAGATTTTAGAGAAATAAAGAAATATACTTGTAGAAAACAAATGGTTGTTGTTGACACAAATTTAAAAGTAGTGTAGCTTAATATGGCTAAGTGAGCGAGCTAAAATAGGCTAACCTGTTAGCTACTGAGTAAAGCTAGCCACAGCGCTACCCCGCTCTCCCCCTTTACTTTATGGTCTTGCAGTTACTTTGTTCAACATACACAGATTTTTTTCTTTTTCTTTTTTTTTTTAAATCGATCATGTAAAACTTTATCGCTCATAGACACGCTAACAATACAGATGCTCCCAACTCAGCAAACAGAAGCGAGGCGCAAGTTTATTTTGCATATTGTGTTTTTGTGCTTAATAAAAAAAAGAAGGCAGGTTAAAATGGGTGAGAGAAAATGTGGAAAAATAAAATTTGGTGGAAAAATAAAACCGATTTCATAGAGCCTCACTTAAGTCTGCCTTTTAGTTCTACATAAAAGTTCTGCGGATGGTTTATTAAATAGATATGGTGGCCTAGGGCAGTTTCTGTCTGTTCAAACTTTGCTCAGCTATGTTGCAATACTTTATTTAGGTCTCCAACTTTACACCCGAGCAGAAATATTTCGGCCAGCCACAGTTTATTGCTAAAACTCCATACCCTACCAAAGCAAAACCAGAGGTCATAAAAAAAATAACAAACCAACCATGGAGACTCAAGAGAGCCATGGAGACTCAAGAGAGCCTCATGATGTCGACCAAATCCTACCTCAATCTTGCATTATATTGCACCATATTGTGAAAGTGTTATGCACGACGCGCATGCATGAGGTGTTTGTTTTACCCACCCACAAAAAAAAGCCTTTTAAATCTCATCGTCTTTTCTAAACCAGACTCATGAAAATAGTATTATAAATGTACACAACTGAAATGTAAGCTCAACTTTTTGTCTTTGTTCATTAAATTGTAAAATACGTGTAAAAGTGAGGATGTTATTTGCCAGAGTTTTACATTTGGGGTGAGTCAAAAAAAAAGTATGCTAAATAAAATCCTTTAAATTAAAACAGGCCCTAGAAATGTTCTTACACTTCTAAATTATAAATGAATAGCAGTATTCTTTTTTAAATGGCTTAGAAATGACCCAGCAGTTTCAAAACATACACTTTGTGAACCCTAGGCAATGTTTTCAGAGGGTTAAGAGATATGCTGAAATCTGCACAAAAATGACCTTCACATTAAGGTCTAAAGCCATAGAAGTAGAACAGCAACACCATGACCCATATTTTGACCCTTTAGAGCCTCATCTGATTAAAGACTTAAAAATAATCGTATACTAATACAATTAAATTTAAAAAAGCCACACCAAAGGTGGACAATGTTTAGGAGGTCTGGTCAGAGCCAAGGAATAATGCATTTATCCAGGAGCTCCACTGAAAACAGGTCATCTAATCCACACAATTAGCGGGATCACAAGACCAAGCTTGGAGAAAACCACAAGATGCATCTGTCCTCCGCTGATGCTCACAAAGCTTCATTAAAGGAATAGTACACCCAAAACATGATTAGCCTTCATTTTCTACTCACCTCCATGCTGAACAACACTCTGGAGTACTTTTTTGATATCTCAAATGCATCTGGAGATCTGGGAGGCTTCTTGCTGTCTGCTGACATTCAAATAATGGAGGTCCATGGCGCCCGAGACAGAAAGGTCCATAAAAGTCCACAAAAACGTGTCAATATTCCTCCATACTGCTCGTCCAATGTAATCCAAGTGTCCTGAGTGGGTAGCATCCAGAATTTACTCGAAACGAAGTCATTTAGAATGTTTTTAGAGCATAAACAGTAGTGTATAGGATTTCCTAATAGCGCCCCCATGCGCGCTCACGATTCTACGGAAGCCGGCAGACCAAACCAGCGCATTCAGCTCGGCAAAGAACTCATGCTCTTCCTCAACACTGAAGTCCTCAGACATTTTTCTTTCGTTGTTTCTTTCTTTGCACAGGTAAACAGCACATTTCTTCTTCTACGCTTGCATTATCGGCAGACCAGACGCTGAATGCGCACTTTCTTCCGGTTTGGTCTGCCGGCTTCCGTAGAATCGTGAGCGCGCATGGGGGCGCTATTAGGAAATCCTATACACTACTGTTTATGCTCTAAAAACATTCTAAATGACTTCGTTTCGAGTAAATTCTGGATGCTACCCACTCAGGACACTTGGATTACATTGGACGAGCAGTATGGAGGAATATTGACACGTTTTTGTGGACTTTTATGGACCTTTCTGTCTCGGGCGCCATGGACCTCCATTATTTGAATGTCAGCAGACAGCAAGAAGCCTCCCAGATCTCCAGATGCATTTGCGATATCAAAAAAGTACTCCAGAGTGTTGTTCAGCATGGAGGTGAGTAGAAAATGAAGGCTAATCATGTTTTGGGTGTACTATTCCTTTAAGGTGTTCATTCAGAGCATCAACAGTGTTTGGGTTGGAAAAAAAAAAGCAGCATTGATCCACTTCTTGTTGAAGAGACACATGTCTAGACAGAGAATAATAGGGAAGTATTCACTTTAATGGTGGGGGAGTATGCTTTTAATGATGGTGCTTTAATTTTAAAGCCGTAATAAAAAGTTTTAAGCTTCTCCAAATCATCTTAACAGAAAGCTACATTATTTTAGTATTTCTAGTCTGGTGTGTTTGATGCTGGAGATGAATATGAGCCAGGTTTGGAGATGCAGGAAGGTAAATATATTAGATTAAAAGCCCAATCAGATATGATATTAACTGTGAACCAGGCTTTTAAGTTCATACATTATGGATGTGCGCTATTAATAAAAGAAATTAAAACATAACTCGTTGAAGTTAGCCATGTTGGGTTAAAAAATATAACATAAATGTGATTGCAGTTTAATTTTCCTGTTACAACCGGCCTAGTTTTAGAGAACAACACAGCTAGCTGGTCCTTCTCCCCACCAACAGCAGCAGGGAGACGGGATGAAATTTACCAGAGTCCCAGGTCTGACCAACAGGCCGCTGCGACTGGAAATCAGTTCCACTTCATTTGGTGGAGGAAAACTGAACAGCAACACAGACACATAATTAAATAAATAAAACAAACAATCTTAGCTTTATTTACCTGTCCGTGGTGGGTCCGTAAGCGTGAGGACGAAGAGAAGAGAGAAGAGGAGGACGAAACTGCTGCTGTCAGCCTTTGGCAACATTTATCCTCCATTCATAGTAACTCCTCAATTCAGAAATGTAAAAATATACCGAGGACCAGCAACGCCTCTGCCCTATACTAAATTATAGGCGCAAAGCCTTTAAAACTACTGGTTCCCATTTGGTGCGCGCAACGACTGACTACAGAAAACAGCGAAAATACAGCATAGTCGCATTCGAGGAGAAACAGGTTGAAGTTAATCTCTCTAGGTTAGCTAGCTGGCTGCTCGGCCGTTACCGTCGACCGTTGGTGCTCGATGCGGAGCGGCGCTCATCCAAGATGGCCGCGGCCTCCCATCACAACAATTCCAAACATTCGGCGGAGCTCGGTTCACAGGCAGACTGTCAGCTGGAGAAGCTGCCGGGGGCGGAGTCTGTGGATGAGAGCGGCCCGGGTGGAGCCTTACAACTTTGGGCAAGCCATTTTAGCATAAATTCGGTTTCGTCTGACCATCCATAATTACGTTCCACATACCGGTATATTAAAATACATTTTGACTAGACAAAACCACATTTTGACTATCCGGAATGGCATTTTAAGATATCTGTATTTACATTCTGATTAGGAAGAATAATAATTCGCGATATCTTAAATTAAATTTAGACTAGTCAACATTCCTTTCAAGATATCTCAAATTACGACACCGGATTTGTCATTTAAAGCGTCACGCGCTGATTTAACTTTTCCTCCTTTGGATTAAACTGACAGTAACAACCAAATTTATGTTAAAATGGCTTGCCATAAACAAATTGGATCAACACGGCTTCCAGAGGCGGTGTTGTGTTGGAGGGTGGGACCCATTGGGGGACCGACGCAGATGTATTTTTATTAGACAGGTTTTATTGGAGAAATTTGGTGTTGAATGCAACTAAAACTTTAAGTGAAACACAGCAAACAAAAATAATTCATCATGGCTCTAGATGGGGGCCATTGGCCCTGCAGATCTGGTCCCTGTACCAATAATGTCATATAGATTTATGATAAATAACTTATATCTGCTGAAACAAAAATAACTAATAGGTGAATTGGAACAATTTATTGACTTAAAAATGATGTCGCTTTTAACACTTGAAAGCACTTTTAACATCAGTCATATTGATATAGGATCCCAGTTTTTATCCTTTAGGTTTCCAGAGCTGTAAGTGGCTCATTGATTAGCTTATTATATCAAAAGGTTGACATTTACCATTTTTTCTTCTATTTCTTTGTTCCGCTATGAAAAAAAACATTGCCCCTGTCCCCTGCAATGCTTTAACCCCTAATGACAACAGCGGTGTGAAAATATTAGAGTAAAACTGATAACTAAAATAAACACAAATATAAGATAAACTAATAATTATGCCTCCAACAGATTTATTCCATGATTTTGTTCTGTGTGATTCTAAAAGTAATTTTAACATAACTGCCAAAAACAAATAAAATTGCAAATTAGAGATCATGAATGTATTTCTTAAGAGGATAAAAAACTATCCAGACCAACACGCAACTGCAAACTTTTGGAGGCAGAGTTTAGTTTCACTAGCAACACTCTGGGCTGATATACATATGTCTTACTGAGACATTAAGTAGGCTTAGAACATCAGTTTTTGGTTTATAGAAATATAAGAATACATAAGCAAAGTCACTTATACCTCACACTCTAGAAATTGTTACAGAGCAATTCTTAGTGCTTTAAAATTGAACAGAAAGCCTTCAAAATGCTGCTTCAAGGCTAAGACCATTTGTATTGACTTCTATTCTACCAGAAAATCTCCAATGAGTATATCTGACTATCAGTCAATTGCCTTAAACTAGTGTATTCTGATTAAGAAATAATCTCAAACACACCTGCATGTCCACTTCTAAATGGTTAAAGAAAAAGTTGTTGTTTTGGTGGAAAGACAAAGTGTGGACTAAAAGACCAAGGAGACGATTTGGCCCCATCTCAAATAGGCTATGGTCAAAAATCATCCACTTTGGCTGAATGGAAATCACAATTAAGATTCAGTTTTCTCCAAAATGCTTGTAAAGATTAATACCCAGTTATCGCCAACACTAGAGGGCAGCTCTTGCCACCAAGAAATGCACAAGTATTTACTATAAATATTGTCGCTTAGAGCCAGATTGGGCTGCAATCTTTTATCCAAAAAGTGCTTGTTTATTCTAGGGTTATAATTGTAATGCCTCAAAAACAAAATTATAAAATACAGTTAATGAGACTGTTTTCAATGTTCTATATTTTTGGTTGATCAAAAAGCATCTACATCCTTAAATAGCATTCTGACATCCTGTTCTTTTGTATTTTAAAGACATACATGTCTCTTTGCCTGTAAATAAAGACTTGAATGCATTTTAATAAAGCAAATAAAACATTTAGTACTTTATACAGGAAAAGGAAACAAACCTAATCTTGCTTAATCTGCAGTAAAATGGCCCAGCGGACACTAAAGGACGTTAAAAAAAGCAAAAGCTCATTGTTGATACATTGAAGCAGAGGACAACTTGTTTTTTTTAATGCTTTTACTCAGGGTGGCTGCACCTTTGGAGTGATCCATTTCTTCTGCTTTTGAACTGTTTGCCTTATGATTTATCCCATTTTTTAATAATTCCAACCCCTAAAAGAAAACTTGTCATGCAATTTATTTAGTTTCATAAAGTGGATTTCAATTATTTATGTAGAAAAATTTATCTATAGACTCCACTGGGTAAAATTACTCCTTAACTGTAAACCATCAAGTCCATGCTTGTTAAGAACTGAAAATATCAAATTGTAAAAACTCAACAGTCTGGTGTTTCATTACAGTTCTATGTAACAGATACAACAAACTAACATTGATGCCTTGGCTGTATGATCTCACATCTTTGTGTAAGTTTCAACAAACACAGAAGATAATAATAAATACATAATAAGATTTTCTACTTTAAAAAGAACTGAAAAAAGTAGAAAAGATGAATTTCAGAGACACTAGTTATCCTATTTGCTGTTGAAATGACCAGATAACATCACCTGAAATTCTTTATTCATTTTTATATCCACTTTATTTTACTTTTTTTATTTTATTTTTTTAACAAAAGTCTTTCACAGTTTGAACAGCGAGCAGCTTCCCTAGAAGAAATCAGATGCTTTCCGTCTCTTTGGAAGCTGCAGCAGATTGTCCGTGAGTGATGTGAGGTCCTGAGCGCTCGGCGTCTTTGCTTTGGTTGGCGTCTGCGTTCCTGTAGGAGTGGCTGGTCCGGCAAAGGGAGACTTGCACGGGGTGACTCTGTGCGAGGGGGAAGGTGTGTAACTTGCCCGCAGGGCTTTGTCTGTGTATTTGCTCGAAGTCCGATTTACAAGCCGCTGCAAGGCGGGTGTGAGGGCTGGGCTCAGACCTTTAGGAGTCAGACTGTAATGGAGAAATAGGTGAGTTATAGGATTTCTTTAAGAATGCATAAATACAAGAAAAAGGAAACAATTGGCAAAGCTAACTCCTGTATAAGATAACTGAGGTGTATCTCATTACCTCGCAAGGTTCTCTGTAACTTTCCTCAGTGCCTCCTGTTTGTTTGCACGGTTTTTAGCAGCAGCTTCATTAGCCATCTTCAAACCCAGCCTCTCTCGTCTTCCTGGCTCTGGAATCTGTTACATACAAATAAATCACAATTTTAAAAGTAAAAAATGAGAAACCAATAATAAAACACATAAAAGCGTACCAATTCTAACCTTGAACGATGGGCCGTGGTTCCGCTCAACATACGGTGTGTCTGATCCATCCAGACGGAACGGCGTGCTCTCAATCTCACCCCAGGTCATGAGAGGAGAATCAGCGACACCTGAAGAAGAAAAAACATTTAAACAAACGCTTCAAGTAAAACCATCTAAAACTGTGCCTCAAGCAAACAGCAGAACAGTAACAGATCATCATTTAGACTGATCAAAAAGAAATTAGTTAGATAAAAAGTGAATAATCTTAATTGGTTTGCAAGGATAATTTGCAGCCTCACTCACCTGGTGCAGGTGACGGAGTCCTCTCAAAACCGTATCCATTCACTGTGGGGGATTCATGAGGTATGAGCTCCTTCCCATCAGGACCCACTTTTCCTTGTTTGAACTACAAAAAACACGATATCTAAATAAACATTTGGAAAGAAGATATCCCAGCATAGACATGCATATAATCACATAGCTGTTTGACACAGGCCGGTTACTCCCATCAAGATGTATGCATTCAACGATTTAAGGGACTTTGAATGTGGCATGGTTGTTGGTGCCAAATGGGGTGGTTGGAGTGTTTCAGAAACTGCTGATCTACTGGGATTTTCATGCACAACCATGTCTAAAGTTTAAAGAATGGTCCAAAAACAAAGAAATTATCCAGTCAGCAGAAGTTCTGTGGGTGGAAATGCCTTGTTGATGGCAGAGGTCAGAGGAGAATGGCCAGACTGGTTCGAGCTGATATGAAGACAACAGTTATTATAGTATTAAATATCCACTGATTACAACAGAGGTATGCAGAACAACATCTCTGAAGATGTCAAATCGAAAGGGGAATGTGCTACAGCAGCAGAAGACCACTGGGTGCCACTCCTGAACAGGAAGAGCAGGAAACTGAGGATACAATGCATACAGGCTCACCAAACTGGACAATAGAAGACTGCAACAACATTGCCTGCTCTGATGAGTTTTTATTTCTGCTGTGACATTTGGAGGGTAGGTTTAGAATTTGGTGCTGAAAAGTTAAAAGCATGGATGGATGCTGCCTTGCATCAACAATTCAGACAGACTGGTGGAGCAATGGTGTGAATAATCAGAGACTGGTTCTTGAACATGAGTTCACTGTACTCAAATAGTCACTACAGTCACATGATATCCATCCCATAGAGCACCATCAGGATGTGGAGGAACAGGAGATTCACATCATGAATGTGCAGCCGACAAATCTGCAGCATGTGCGTGATCCTGTCATGTCAATATGGACCGAACTCTCTGAGGAACATTTCCAGTTACTTTTTAATCTACCCACAAAGGATTAAGGCACTTCTGAAGGAAAATCTATTTGATGACAAAGTGAAGCATTGTCCCTATTTGGCCGCAAAATTTGAGGTCGAAATGCCCAATAAATGACAGAATGTTGGGTGTAAACGCAGAATTCCAATTACATCCCAGTCCATGGCTAAATTCCACCATAGCAGCAGTAAAGGTACCTGTGCATTGAGGGCTGCAGCCTGCTGAATCTGGCTTTTGTTCAGAGCTTTGCTAAACGGATCTCCAACAAATCGAGTGTTTTTGTGCACCACCTCTCTTGGCTTCTTAAAGACTGCATCATCGTCTTTAACACCTAGGAAATAATGATAAAAGCATCACAATTTAGATAAGATAGTGGTTAAGTATGTTAAATCGAGGGAG